CCACTAAGTCATATGCATTTAAGTTTTCTCCATCTTTCAATGGCTGGATAGCTCATTCCTTTAGTGCTGAACAATATTCCATGTTCTGGGTGTATCTGTTTATCCGTTCACCGACTGAAGGTCGACTTGGTTGCTTGCCAGTTTTTGCAGTTATAAATAACACTGCAATACACATCTGTGTGTAGGTTTTTGTGCGAACACATTTTCAAGTCTTTGTGTACATACCAAGGAACTTGATAATCGGATCACATGACAGGAGAATGTTTAGTTTTACAGGAAACTGCCACGCTGTGTTCCAGTGTGGCCACGCCATTCGGCATTGCCACCAGCAACAATGAGAGTCCCCGTGACTCCGCATACTCGCCAGCGTTCGATGCCATCAGCGTCCTGGGTTTCCTCCATTCTCCTTAAAATAATTTTTATTTTTCAATTACAGTTGATAGTCAGTATTAGTTTCAGCTGTACAGCATGGTGGTTAGACATTTATATACCTTACGAAATGATCCCTCCGATAAGTCTAGTCCCCACCTGGCACCATACACGGCAATTACAATATCATTGACTATATTCCCTGAGCTATACTTTATATCCTTGTGACTATTCTGTAACTGCCAATTTGTCCTTCTTAATCCTTTTACCTTTGTCACCCAGCCCCCCACCACCCTCCCATCTGGCAACTATCAGATTATTCTCAGCGTCTCCCTGTGTCTGTTTCTATGTATCAGGCAGGGCTGCTATGCGTCCCAGTCTTAGCAGAGTGGCCTTATGTAGTAAGTGTCCTGTGAGGACCAATGGCACAGTCTGGTCCCCTGAGCCGGGTGCTGCAGGTGTGTCCCTTGTGTGGGTTTTGTGTGTCCTCTTGTTGGTTGAGCCTTGGTTGCTGTTTGCACGTCAGTGGGAGGGACTGACCCCCGGGCTGATCGGTTGTGAGGACTGGCCGTGACTATGAGCTGTCATGTAGGGCTGACCCTATTGGAGCACATTCGCTGTAGCTGGGCTCTGGTGCCTGCCCAGATTGTCCTTTGGGTGTGTCGTCCTCAGCGGTGACTTTGGGTGGTGCTCCAGCTCAGACTGAAGCCAGCCACCGGGCATGCAAGCTGGGGCCTCCTGGGAAGGGCCAGGCCACAGGCCACTTTCAGCCGTAGCCTGTGCCCTGCCCGGGGCCATCTGGCATGAACCACCAAACAATCTGCAGACGGCTGCCACCCACAGTGGGCTTGGAAGTGCCTCAAGTGGCCAAGCTATAAACTGAGGCCTCTGCCACTAGTGCCGGGCTGGGGGCTGCTCAGCAAGAGGTACGGGGCATGCGGAGGCCAGATGCTGCTTGTTTGGGGTTTATGGGCCTTTGAGAGATTTTAGGAAGTCCGCAGCATGAGCCAAGACAGGCTTTTTGTATGAAAAAGCCGCTGGAGGAGGCTTGGGGGACTGCAGGTGGGAGGGGCGGGGCCTCAGGGAATCACCTGTGCGGGGAGCATGGCGTCAGCAGGGTTGATGGAGACTCGGATACGGTGCCCACCTGTGCGTGCGTGCGGGCTGTGCGTGGGAAGAGGGCTCAGCAAAGGAGTGATGGCCTCTCGCAACATTCTTTCCGGGAGAAAGCCAGCCCTCCAGCCCTCACCTTGAAGCCGGACAGCTCAGCTCCTCCTCACATGTCCCCGGTGCCTTCCGAGCTGCAGCCCCGGCGCTGGAGCTCAGGGTGAGTGAGTCTGTCAGCGTTGAGTCCACGGGGCTCCTTTAAGGTGACGCCTGAGACTCCAGCTGCCCTCCTTCCCACTTGGCTGCCATCCCTACTGGTTTCCACAGCCAGAGGTTGTGGGGACTTCTCTTCCTGGCACTGGAACCCTGGGCGGGGGAGCCCGGTGTGGGACTGGGACCCCTCGCTCCTCCTGGGGGACCGTGAGTGAGTCTGTCAGCGTTGAGTCCACGGGGCTCCTTTAAGGTGACGCCTGAGACTCCAGCTGCCCTCCTTCCCACTTGGCTGCCATCCCTACTGGTTTCCACAGCCAGAGGTTGTGGGGACTTCTCTTCCTGGCACTGGAACCCTGGGCAGGGGAGCCCGGTGTGGGGCCGGGACCCCTCGCTCCTCCAGGGGGACTGCCACAGTCGAGACATTTTTCCCAGTCTTTAACTGCCACACGTGGATGTGGGACCAGCCCATCCTGCGTCTCCGCCCTCCTATGAGTCTCCATGTGGCTTCTTCTGCGTGTCCTTAGTTGCAGGACTGCTGTTCAGCTGGGCCTCAGGTGCTTCTCAATGATGGTTGCTCTGTCGTTGTAGTTCTGAAGAGGCCATGGGGTGTGGGGTAAGCACAGTATTTACCTGCTCTGCTGTCTTGACCAGAAGCCACTGTGTGCCTAATTTCTGAAGGAAGAATTTCGTGGATAAAGATTCGAGTTATGCACAGACAAAAGTTACATAACGCAAGACCATCGTCTGTCTGCTGACTCTGGCGCTTCGTAACCGCCAACGCTGATACTTCGATGATAATTTTCACACCTTCAGACCTATGCTTGTGAAACACACAGGTGCTTTATTCTGTAGATGTTTTCGTTTTCACGCCTACACGTAAAACCATAAAATGATCATCGTTTTCTTTTCAGCTAGATGTTCTGTATCGTGGGATCGTCACATACGTTGTCAGTGTCCTTTTATTTAGTCGGAACATTATTACTCACAAAAATACCTGGTCGTATTACTGTTATACCCGCTTCACAGGTGAGGACACTGAGTGTCAGGCAGGTCGTGCGACCCACTGGAGGATGGTTACCTAGGTGTTCTGTGACATCGTCAAATGCTGGCACCTTCATTCTCTCCACGCCACCACCCTCTTCGCCGCCGAGAAGCATAAACGCCTTCTCGTTGTCCTGCCCGCCTGTGCTCTGGGTATATTAAAAATTGAGTAATTAATTAATCGAGTCTCAAATGTTTGCATAGTAATCTGTTGTAAAAATACGCCATAGTCAGTTTACCCAATCAACCATTATTCTCTGATAGGTATATCTAGTATTTAGTACGTTTTCCTCTTACGGCCAAAATACACATAGCCTGTACATTCATCTGTGCTAGAGGCCTATTTTATATATATTTATAAAATTTTAAGGCCCAGGTAAAAGTATGTGCATCTCCGCAGTCTTAATACACAATCACAAATCCTTCTCCAAGTCGTATTATTTCTAGCTATGTACATGAGTGATGTTCCACGTGACAATATAAGAAGCATTTTTCCTATTGAAAAAGTGGGCATCTCATTTTCAAGTTAGAGTACATAATTCTCTCATTTTAGCGGCTCTGTCGATACCGTCAGTCCCCTTTAGCTAAACCTTTCACACCGTTTTCATGAAGTTTGTTAGGGAGTGACACGTTTGGTGGACGGATCGCGGAGCGCCAATAAACCAGAAAATAGGGCAAGAGAAAGCAAAGCACGAAGATGCTGTTTAGGGACAAACACTGAGCAAGGCACTCCGGGAAGCTTGTGTGTGTGGGGGGGGGGTTGTGTAAGCTGCGCCCAGATGCAGTGGACCCTAACTGACCCTGCTTTAAGAAATTCTGGTGTTAAAGAAAAACCTTACTTTAGTTTCTTATAGATACGATCAGTATTTATTTTTATCACATCGAACTTCCAGTTCTGGGAAGCTTCCCTCACGTGGACTGTGAGGAAAGCTCAGGAACGTCCTGTTAGTCTTGACCTCGTTCCCACTTTCCTTCCCTCCATCCTCAATACACAGGCTTTTATATTCCTCCAATTCTGGGACAAGAGATGAGGATGGCAGTGGGGACTACTGTGACATCTCTGGACAGGTGGCATCTATGTGCACCGTATGTCCTGTCAGCAGACATACCTGCGCCACCCCCGTGCCTGCAGGTCGAGTTGTGTGTTTAGCACAGGGGCTTAGCATTTTCTCGTGGAGCAAGAGATGAGGCACACCATCTGCAAAATACTTTCGTTTCTTCTTTTCCTGCCTGTGTGAGTTTTGTTTCATTTCTCTTTGCTCAACTGCTTTAGCTAAAGCACCTAGGGCTTATGCTGAAGAATTGTTGAGTGCGGACACCTTTGCCTTGTTTCAAGCCTAAAGAAGAAACATCAGTCTTATACAATTAAGTACATCAGTTGTAGGTTTTATAAATGTTCTTTATCAAGTTGAGGACATTATTTGGGCTTAGGGCTGTTCCTACTTTTCTGATAGATTTGATCCACAGTGGACATTAGAGTTTGTGTGCCTTGAATCTTTCTAAAGTTATTTAGATTTATTTTGTCCCAGAATATGGTCTATGGTGGTAAATGTTCCACGTGCGCTTAAAATGAATATATATTTTTCTGCTGCTGGGTGAAGCATATAAATGTATAAATGTCAACTAGATCATTCGTTGATAGTGTTCAAATAGTGCATATCTTTACCGGTATTTTTTTCTCTGTTTGTTCTAGCAAATATTGAGGGGTATTAGAATTTCCAAGTCTAAATTTGGATTTGTCTATTTCTCCTTGAGGTCCTAACGGTTTTTTCTAGTTGGCATGCATTTTGAAGATTTGTTATTTGGTACGTAAAGGATTAGGATTACTATGTATTCTTGATAAATTGACATAGAGTATTATGAAATAGCCACCTTTATCCCCGATATTATTTTTAGTGTAAAATTTACCTTGAATGATATTAATATGGCCGTTAAAGCTTCCTTCTGATTTTTGATAGAATTGTGTATTTTTTTAAAATCTTTTTACTTTCCCCCTATTCGTACCTCGATATTTAAACTACGTTTCTGCAGGCAGCAGATCGCCAGCTCTTACTTTTAAGTCCAAGCTGACGATCTGTTTTTGAGTTTCCGTGTTTAGACCCTTGACATTGAAAATTATCCTTAGTTTAAATTTAAATCATTTTTCCACTTGTTACACATATTTTTTGGTCCTCTTTTCTGCCTTGTTTGGAATAATATGTTACATAATGCTTCCATTTTTGTCTCCTTTAGCAGCTTATCGTCCGTAACTTTTTATTAGTACCGTGGTTGATTTTGGGGTTATCGCCTGCATTTTTAACTTTTCAAGTTTACCTGCATATGATACTCTACCACTTCGTGTACTGCGTAAAAGCCTTAAAACCGTATCGTTCCACTTTGCTCTTTAAAACCTTGCGAAATTGTTGTAATATAGTTGACATTTATGCGAGCAACCCCACGGGACCTTATAATTAGTCTAAACGGTACATTATGTGCTAACATTTAAATAAGGCAATGTATCTTCTGTACTTGCCCGTGAAGTTCCAGGCCCTGTGTTCTCTGCTCGCCCGTGTAGACGTGGACCTCCAGTGGGTGTTGTGTCCCTTCTGCCTGAAACCGAATAGTCCTTGTCGTGAGCGTCCATGGACAATTTTCGGCTTTTAGTATTTTAACAATATCCGTACACTGTCATCTTGCTTGTCTTGTTTCTACTGAGAAATCTGTCGTCCTCACCTCTGTCCCCTGTCTCTGCACGGTTTGTTCTCTTGTCACTTTCTTTCAGGCCAGGTTAATAAAAGCACGGGATGGATGCCACCAGGCTAACAGGGATTGCGACAGACTCTGAAGAAATAAATAAGCTCTAAAATTGGTAAGATATAGTAGTGACAAGGAGTTGGAAATATTTATTGGAGCTATCGTGACAGAGCTGACTCTCGGTGACCAAGATCTTACTTGATGTCAGAGTGCAAATTTCCCAGAAGAAAGAGCAGGTGTAGAAGGGAAGAGAAGCATCCTGGTCCGTTAGGGGGACTTCGAATCGTGGTTTGAAATGGGGAGGCTGGAAAGAGGCTGAGGTGGAAGTCGGGGTTCACATCCTGCCCTGAGATCAGAAGGGAAGAAACGAAACGTGTTAAACTTCAAGTTAAAATCCTCTCCGGATTCAGTGGAAGCTGCGGTTTTTTGGGAAGTAGGCAGGAATTTAGGTGAAGACAATGAGACAGCCATTCATTGTTTTGTGCAATTTAACACGGACGAGGTTTGCATAGGGGCTGGTCAGCCCCCCCGGGGGGCAGGACCGCGGGGGAGGGGGGAGAAGACACCTTCGGGTTCCACCCCGTTCGCATTGGCAGAAATCGGGGGTGACGGGAGGGCGTGGATCAGAGGGCGGGTGTGCAGAGACCGAAGTCACCGCATTTGCCCGTGAGCCCCAATAAGAGAACCGTGTGTCGCCCCGTGTCCAGCACGTGAGGGGTCACAGAGGGGTGGCACGGGTGACGTGTCCCAGGTCTCGGAGAACCTGGGAGACTGACGTGTGGCTGCAGAGCTGCGCTCGGGCGCCCGGCGACAGGACTCGGGGAGGGGAGGGGACGCGCAGCGC